TTAAAAACATCAGAGGTATCAATTGGGTGGATTTATATGGCATAATTTCAACAGCTACACTTTAGTAGCGGTTAAGGAAAATCACAGTTTTACTAAAAGTAATTAGCATTTTCTCTTGTTTCCTTTTGACATCTCTCTTTTCCTGGAAAAGACTAAACGCTCCTATGTTTTCTTTTTGTCTGTTCATTGTATTTTAGTGTTCATTCCATTTGTTTGCCAATAAAAAATGTTCAGGTTTTTGTTTTCATGAATGTTTTGGTAAGTGGCAACTACCTTCCTGAATAAAAGTATCATTAAATCTTTGCTTACATTTTATGAATGGTGGCTTAATGTAAGAATGTATTTGATACTTTTAATATTTTGTTAGAAATACTAACTAGAATAGAAACTAGGAAAAAAAAGTGAAGCATGCTTGCCTTTAAAAAGATGCTTACTATTTACAGCCACTGACATTGTGTTTTTCCTTTAAACATTTTGTTTGTACCCACCTTGTTGAATGTAAGTAGATAACAGTTCAAGAAAATAAACAAAGCTCCTTACCTGATTCTTCTTAATGACTTTGTACTCTGAGAGGATTACAGTAACATAAAGTAGCCAACAGTGTTGTGTTTTAGTTTGCAATTAAAAAGGAAAGGAAACAAAACTGGATCTGATCCAAAATGAGGACTGTATTATTTCAGCTATGAAATAATGGACTTTGCAGTTTTTAAAGAGAAAGAACTGCTATTAAATAAGACTCAGAGGTGTCTAATCTTTAAGATGATTTTGAAATGCAAAATGGTAACAGAGAGTATACATTTCTAAAATTCCCTTTCTGGATCTTATTTCAATTTATGTTTACATGCTTATACAGTATAGAAGACCATAACTATAACTATAATTATGTGAATAATAATTCATCTGATGTTGCAAATATATAATATTGGTACAAGATCATTTTTCTCTCTGCACATATGCGTCATCTGTCAAGAGAAACCTGTATAATGAACTTAGTTCAGTTACCCAATGATTATAAAGTTGTTCCTTTAATTTTCTTTAATAGTTGCCATTTTTATACATAAACACTGTATGTTTAATTATAATAGCAATTTGTAAAGATAAAAAGGACCTGTATTTTTTCTTTTGCATTATTAAAAATGGGCATGGCATAGCATAACTAAAACCTTTTTTGTTTACTGTATTTGGTTTTCCACTAATGAGGTGTGTGTGTGTGTGTGTGTGTGTGTGAGAGAGAGAGAGAGAGAGAGAGAGAGAGAGAGAGAGAGAGAGAGAGAGAGAATAAATGTCAGTCAGTCAGTCAGTCAATCCATTAAGGTGCTGGAAGTGAAAGGCAAAATTCTATACATTGCTGAATTCTGATTCTGTTCTGTCTCTAATCAGGGGGTGGTTTAATTCTAAAAATCAGCTTTTGTTTAGGCTTAGGTTACTGATGCTTACATTTTACTCCTTTGGGTTAAGGAAAATCTTTCCCCACCTGTTCAGATGTATTATGATATAGGAATGTTTTAAATAACTAAAGAAGACTATGAACAATCACCTTCTCAGTATAAGTTCACAAAGTGCAAGCACTTACCCTTAAAGAATATAACAATAAGCATATCTATATATTTTTTTATTAATTTGACCTTTATATACACATAGTGGGTTTTTTTCTGTAATTTTTAAGACATAGCATTAAAAAGTTTTTTTTTTACTTTAATAAGGAGAATAAAGTAGAAACCAAAATCTTTGGCCAAGTAGGATTAATAAGTAAGGATACAAAATAAATGAGCCTCCAATTTGTCTTACAGGTCAAGAAAGATGTAGTGCGTGAAATTAGTTCAATTGCAATGATAGTGCTTCCCTGCAGTACAGTAATTATGTAATATATGAATTCTGCATAGGTGTGTGTGTGTCTGTGTATATGTCTGTTATCTAGATGCATGATGAATATATGATTGAATATTATGCTATACATGGTCATGCATATAGAGTGAAATTTCCCAGTTTTTATTTGCTTTGGCATTAAGTTCCAGTTCTTGCTAAGGAGTTTCTGTAGTTCTAAGATAATGGCTGCTGGCAAATAGATTAAATAAAGATGACTAGTTTGGTACATAAATATATCACCAAATATGCATGTTAAAGATTCTGTTGATAGGGTAAAGAAGCCACATTAATGTTAGTCATCCATGTGATCAGATGGAACTATTTGATTAGAGAAAGGAGATTCATTATTAATGTTTGCTGCTTTTTGTTGATCATTGTGGTTTCTGAAGGATTATGGTAAGATCATACTTTTGTGATAAGAAGAAATCCAAGTCAGAAAGGCTGGATGAATCCATTTCTTATGTTCTAGGCCTTTCTGGAAATCTAGGAGGACAGAAATATTTTTTTCCAGTTCTGTGATTTGAAAACAAAATCTAAACAGAATCATTGAATAACGCTGTAAGTGGTCTGGATACTCCTGGACCACTATAGTAGGCAATAGCTGCTCTCTCTGTCTGACATAATAGTTCAGGAAGAAATTCTAATGTAAAGAAATGAGTGGGTTAATTTCCTTGAAATGAATTCTTGTGTATATAGCTCAGAACATTAAAAGAAAATTTGAACCTGGCATTTGGTTTCCATTTTTCCCATATCAATTACTTAAAATAATAACAACATGCCTTATTATTAACATTTTAGGCAAAACAATGGCCTCACAAGGATTTTTTCATTATATTGATTGAAAGGAATCACTGGTTATCACATTTAGCCTGAGAGAAGAGCATTTTACATCAAAGAAAACTGCTGGGATAGAAATTTTTACAGCAGATTGGATTGTTTTTCCTAAGACAATATTTGTTACTTGAAACCATTTGCCTTGAATTTTCTGCTTCCTTTCCATTAATTTCTATTCTGATTTACTTTTCTTTTTCTTTTCTTTTTTTGATAATTTCCCCATTCTTAATGCCATACTGAAGCTTTTCATTAAGTGCTGAAATCTTGGTAACATCTTTGTTTTGGATAGAGTTAAGTTTTAATAAATGCTGAAAGAGAAATATACATTTGTTTACTACGTAATGTTTTGTTTTACATAGAAAAAAAGTTCCATTGTTTAACTCTGATAGAGTTTTTAGAACTGGAATCCAAATCATGAATGCACCAATAACTGATCTCTTCTAAAATATCTCCACCTTGCAAAGTGTTTACACGGAGAAAGAAAGAAATGAAGCCAAATAAGCCAGATACACTTATGATTCTGCCACTCTGTATTACAACTAATACTCTAGAGGGGAAAGAAGTGCTTAGGGCAGTATTATAAGGGCAGTATTAGGGTACTCTAGGGATACTTAGATGCTCCATCAGCTTACTGTAAAGAAGCTGCAGTCCTTTACTAAGGTGCAATCGCATAGATTTCATTGGATCATACTGCTGAGTAAACGGGTTTCCGGTGACACTGAGATTATTTTTCTATGTCAACTGCAAAACAAGTATTTTTTAAAGTTTTAAAAATATTCCTATATTTTTATATCTTTAGGAAAATAGTGCAGCATTTATAAAGTAGCAGTTGTACAATGCAGTCATTCCTAGTTCTTAGTGTATATAATATTCATGACTTTCCTGGATGCTGACTTAGGGGTATCTCAACAGCAGATGCTGGTGGTAATTAACTTTTGCAGATCATCAGCAAAGAAATCCAGATGTATTTCTATTTCTTTGGGCAGGTGTGTTTGGAATTTGTAAGAGAGAAACACACCTCAGCTTTCAGAATGAAGTAGTAAATACTCCATCTGACTGATCTGATATGTTATGGATATAATTAATACAGGATTTGAGGAAAATCTGATTTTGAAATTATTATTGTGTTTGGTTACACAGTACGCCAAATGTTTATACTGGGTTTGGCATTTTTATCCACCTGTCAAGTCCTTCCCAAGGACCTGGGATGGGTAGATGTTTTTGTTTGAGTATGTTAAAAGTGTCATCGTAGGATGTAAGCTTGTCCAACTAACGCTGCCTTTTGCAACTGACTGGTGGTGATTTTGTCAATGCTGATGGCATTCAGATAATTATTATTTATGATGATGATGATGATGATGATGATGATGATGATGATGATGTACAAGCGAGTGTTGACTCCTGGTGACTGCCTGGGCTTGTCTTGCCTTATCTGTCCTATTCTATCCTTTGATTCTTTGAGCACTTGGGTTGCCCATAAAGTGGCCCTTCTATGTAAGTGCCCATTACTTGTCAATCAAGAAGCACTTGAGAGCTCTGCTGCTTGAGACTACTTTCTATTAGGAAAGTATGACCGCTTGAAGTGGAACATATTGTAGAAATGGTATCTTTGCCCTATTTGTAATTGCAAATGTAATTACAAACAAGCTCTTGCAGATTAAGGCAACTTTCACTGCACATGACTTAACCTTATGTTAGCCAAAGAAAAGTAGTATGTGCCCTTTACTCCATGCCAGATATGCATTTTTTTTTCTTGATTTGGGTGCTGCTTCTGGATGCCATTTGAATGGAACTGGTGGTGTTCTTTTTCTGAGCTTTGGGTACTGTTCAAAACAATATGAAGGAAGACTGCACTAATGTATATTGGCTTGCTAGTGCACATGAATAGTTCAGACAATCAACCTTGCCATTCATTATCTTGTGTTTCTCAGGGACAAGTTGCAAAAAAGCAGTTTCTATTGTCACGTAACTTGTGCTTACTGCATTTTTCCTCTTGCATTCTTCGTGTCTACTGTGTTTACCTTGGTGTCCTTCTCTCCTGCCTCCTAAAAAGGAAAAATCTCTATGTTTAGATTTTGAAGTAATCTCCCACCAATATTTCAAGCTAGTCTTTATTTTATCAGAATATTCTTGAATATTTTGTTAACGGTAAACATGTAATCCATAAGTGACAAACTTTGACTGTATATTCAGAGGGTATTTGCCTTCTCATGCAAATTTTAGCATGCTAGAGATTCTGTTTTACCCCTTTTGTGTGCAGTAACATGCCATGACCAAGCTATTCTTGTTTTGTTTTTTAGTGTGGAAGGGAATGGATTGAGAATAGACAGAGGCGGCGTATCTTGTCCGATTCTGCACTGCTGGTGAGGTGCTGATTTTTAGGGTATTTCCATACCATTATATCCTGTTTCTGGGGTAGGAAATATTGTAGACAGACTATTGAAATTTGGAATGAAGTGTGATCTTTCATTCTATGTGCTTCTAAGTAATAGTTAGAATGACCATTAGGTTATCAGGCTAAAATTATCTTTTTAGCCTCTTCCCTGTATGTTAACTTAACAAATTGTTTATGTTATAATCCATGAGTGATAATTTCTCCTGCAAACATATTTGTGTGTTGTGCATTCCTTTATATGCAGGCAGGCAGATGGACAGTCAGACACATCTACATATAAACTAGTTCTCCATTATTATATTTTAAAGATAAATTCTGTGTAACAGCCTTTATGAACAGCTCCACAAAGCATATTTTGTTCTATTTTCTTGAGAACAGAATCCTAAGAATGGTTTTACAAAAAGCTTTACTTTTTCTATTGAAAAATTGTTAATTTCCTCTTTAAAATACAGAGAGAATGGAATATTATTGTCATCACTTATGTTGATCTGCAAAATAGTTATCTTTAAATTCATTGTGTTTGTCCAATGTACATATCACAATCATATACAAATCGTTCTTCCACTGATATTTGTACCAATTTTTAGTTCTGAAAAAATTAAATGTCTATGAAAAAAGCTTACAGGAGGAAGACTTTAGACAAATAAAATTTTATTTTGTCCAAAATCTGTAAAAGTTACCTTGTGATACAATTTATCATAAAGTTGGTATAAGACTATGAAATTCTTGGATATTTATTTCTGAAAAAAATTAATTCTAAGAAGATTTTTCACATTCTTCTATGATAGGTATTAAATTATTTGGGGGAATATAGTCTTGAGAAAATTTGCTGAACTTCTTTGATTTAGATTTCATTCAACATCTCAAGTGCTCTATTTTTATGTAATATTGACTCTTTCATTATAGTAAATTTGGTGATATGTGAGAAAAATCCAGATTAATTATGGGGCAATATATTCTGGAGTGGCAATTTAAGCAAAACCTAAAACCTTAATGTCAAACATTAGTAGTCAACTGGGCATTTAGGTATCAGAAGAGAAAAACATGTAATTCCTTAGTTTAGAAAGTGGTGACAATTAAGGCCATATTGCCTGCAATGCAGTCTAAATTGACAGCACTAGACATACGCTATTGGAGATATTAAACATTACTTTCTAATAAAAAATATTTGATAAGCATTTGTCTTGGATTCCCTAAAATTTTTCAGAAAGTGTACAGTAGCTGCCCTTTGATGCAATTTCTTTATCATCAGGAAAATATATAAATAAATGTTTTTGAAAATATTAAAAATGGAGTCAGATGTAATCGTATATTCATGTATTTCTGTAAGCAAAAGACATTTGTAGATTGGGTTGGTTTAAAAATGTTGCAGAAAATAAAATAAACATGGTGCCTGCCTTCTCATATAAGTGTCACATGAATAAAAGCAAAAATCATTTTGAAAAATCTTATTTTTCATTATGAGTTATACATTATGAGTTTCTGTGTCATACAAAAGCTTATGAGATTTACTGTCTGTGCACATTACTGGGATCTGTATATGTTTTAATTAATATAAATAGCATATCTAGCTATGCATTTCCTTACAGCTGGCGTGAATGTAAATATTTATCTATGCTGAGTAGAAGATACCACTATGCTGGTATCTTTAAATAAATTGAGTTGTAAGGAATTAATCTCTCTTCTGAACCCAGTTTTGATACAATATAAAGTCACCTGTTAAAAAAATAAATTATAGATTTTTAAAAAGGTATAAATAGAGGATATTAATTTTTTTTGGGATGGAATTGAATTATTAGAAATAAATACAGAAAGAGAGCAAGTACTACATTATAGAAAAATTCAAGAGATTGTCCCTTAGTTAAATGATAAGAAAATGTGATTAGATTGTTGTCTGTTTAACATTAAGAAGCATGATTGGTTAAAGACAGGAATTTTGTTGCAATATTTTAAGGTGTTGCAATATTTGAATCCCCTTTAAGAGGGTTGTTGTAGACGATGAGTTCTTTATATTTTTGTTCAGTATGTCACATAACATTTATCTTTTTAACTTTTAAAAATACAGTTATAATTTAATGGTGGTTTCTTGCTGAATTCTTAACCATCAGTCGCAGCCTAGTATTGCAGGGAGAATTATACTGAATAAAGTAAATCCATGCTCTTATTTTAATGAAATCTTTCCAAGAGAAACAATATACTGTTTAAGGGAAACACTACAGTGGTCCTAATAGTGTTTTGTTCTCTGAATTTTTGTTGATAAATATTCTTGAGAAATACATTTGGCAAATACATGTGCGGCCCAAACAACTTTATATTGTATTTTCATTTCCTTTTTATTCATTGAGGAATTTAGGGAAGGCTCTTTAAATGTTGATTAAACAATGAAAACAAAAATCAGGTTTAAGTTGTCAGGTTCTTTTCTTAAATTTGTATAAAATATTACAGTGTCAGTTTCCCTATTGTTACTTGAGTAGTGTTGTTGAGTAACAATAAGAAAACAAAAATTAAATCATGAATAATAAAGACTAATCAGCCTTGGTGAGTTTAAAAGGGATTAAAAGATACGTTTTTGCACAGAATAAATTATACTGTATATCTTAGTGCTAGTGTGGTTGGACTATTGGACATTGTATTGGGTCTCACTGGTTTATCTTATAACGAATGTATACAGCACAGTTGTAATTGTCATGCTTTAACATGCCTAGTATTGGATGGATTAAGACATCACAAGAGCTAGTGCTTGATACAGGTCATCAAGCTAAGATAATTCAGGTCATTTGAAAGCGGTTTGAATGATAAGCAGTTTTAAATAAGAAATAGGGTTTGCTAATATTAAGAAAATTTCACTGTGATTTTGATTGTCACTTATCACTGAAATCCATTTGAAGATTTGAGCGTTCCCACAGTGTATTCATTTGCTTCTACTATTACATGGTGTAGACACCGCAGTTTTCTACAGTCTTCATCTATGTTCCCTGATCGTAGTTCAGAGAGAAGGAAAGGCAGAAGGAGCTCAAAAGTATTTGTGTGGACATGCATGTGCAAAAATGTATCGAAAATACAATGTCTCCTGAGTTTTGTGTCTTGTTTAACCAAAGTTAAACATGTGGTGGAATCCAAGTAGGATTCATCAGTGTGCAAAATCATTTTTGTTGATTCTTTTGTTCTATCTCAGGAAAAAAGTGATGAACTTGTTGCTTTGATTCCTTCCAAATGGCAAGAACTTACAATGCATTAGAATCAAAACATGAGCACTGAATTTTTACAAAAGTTACTAAAACTGATTTGGAGAGATTTTTATGAGAGATCAAGAATAGCAATTTTCTTCTGAAAGATCTGATGTGAAAAGGCAGGGGAATACCCACAGTATTTCCTTATAAGAAATACTAATATAGGTAGAAGCCACAACATATTCTTTATACAAGTCATAATAATTTAAGAATTCTTTCCCCCTATTGATTTAAGACCACCACCTCATTAAAGTATCTTAATTGACTAATTCAGTGATTCACCAATCAACCGATAATGCTTAACATGTCAAAGAATAAAGCTATTTTTTTCAGATTTTAGATGCTTTTAGATGGTACATGCATTTCACAAAATAAGTATTCCACACATCTTCTGTATGTACATAAGAAAAGTGGTAGAAAGGAATGTTTTGTTAGTATTTTCTAGTCTAATTCTTATAACTACTAGTATTAAAAATGATGAAGTAATTTTTTTCCAATTATTTGGTGGTGCTATATTAATCAGGTAAAAAGGGTTTGGGGTTCCTTTGGATACTTAGATCATCAAATATTTCAGTCCAATTATTTTGTGGCTATTACATAGCATGCTTTACTGAAAATGACACATTCTACCTGTTAATCTCCTTCATTGCTGTCCTTTTCTTGTTGTTTAAGCTGTATTGAATTTGATTTTTTTAGCTACTCATCCCAGGGCCTGTCCTGTTTGTTCTTTAAAGTTCTTTATACATAGAGATAGTTTACATTATTGTTTACATGTATATTTACATTATATTGACCTATTTATTATGCCTTATTTAACTATCTTGGGAAAAGAAAAACCTGGTTTTCTGTAGATGCTTTCAAACTTCAGCCATTTTCATAACTGGCACTACAAGAATACTTGTTCATGTGGAGTATTATTTGCTTATGTGACTAGTGTACAGCAAGAGGTGATGAGAAATTCCATTCATAATGCAAAAGAGAAAACCAACAACTATTTCATTCTTGTTTATGCCTACATATTCTGAGGTAAGTAAGAATGTAGCCGAGCACTTTCCTAGATGCAAATCCATTGAACACAGACAGATTTCTTGATATACTTTATTTATAAATACACATGCACCTAATTTGTCCTGCAAATCATGTATTCATATAGCCTGGCTCCTGGAAATATTTTGAATAAATCTTGTAAAAAAGATGAAAATTCTAAATTCATTGTGACAGTTGTGTAAAGTTGTTTCCCCCAAAGCCTAGTCAGGAAGGCATATTCAGGGACCTGTTTAGTACAAACTTGTTTCTTTTATTAGAGGAGTTGGGACAAAGGGCTTTGTTTTGGCAGATACAAAGTAGTTCAGCTTAACATCTTTAGAAACCTCCTCTGAATTGCTCTGATTGCTTTTGGGGTCCCTATACTATAATAGCCATAAGATGTGAATACAGAAGAACACGGCAGCCCTCTGCAGGATTTAGCTAACACTGTGCAGCACACAATTTTCAGCCCAGCAAAGAGACATTATTGCTATGAATTGTCCTGGAGGGTCAGTTATGGCATTTTTGTGCAGATGTAATCCAGAATGGTAATGAAATTACACGGTGGTTTGAAAGGTAAAATAATGCTTTTCTCTGATGTATTAAATTCCGCCCCCCCCCCCCCTGCATAGATCTCTAATGTTTGAATGAAGCTTATCAAAGTGGCTTTCTCTTAGTAAGGTGGGGATTCTGCCCTGCAAGATATTGGAGC